AGTTTAAAAACGCGAGCGCCTTTCAAAGAATATGGCATAAAAACGATCTACTTGTTATTTTCGAAAATAAATATTTTAAGCAAGTAAGAAATGTATTTTGTTTTTATTCAAATATTGATTAAAACCACTAGGTGTTGCTACGAAGTTCCATGTCATGTGTAACCATTCTGATACTGATTTTTCATTTATTTGTTGTCATATTAACTTAGCGTCAGTAGTCCGCAATAAAATGGGTGACTTGAACGATACAATAAAACTTTTCGAGCTAGTTCGTATTTTCTTACGGTATATTCCTTTGCCGTATAGTTAAGATTTCTCCCTCATTAATCGACTGAGGACAAAAATCAGGCCTGAACAAAAGCCATGCATGTTTTTGTATTGAACAGCATGCGACTTATAAATCATCCACGAGTTCGAACAAGGTAGAGTTTATTCACTTTTGATTTATTGTCATTACTTATTTATAGATATGGATTTCTTATGAATCCCGGTGCAGCTCTTGGATAAGATGAATTGATAGCTTTTGATGACATTTTTTACAGGAAGTCTATAGAAAGTTTGTGAGGTATTTAACGTTATATGAGTTTGCAAGAGGATTTACTTTGACAATAATTGCAAAAACACAGCGTCAGTAGTGCAAAATAATTGTTTTAATCTTTAAAGTGAATTGGTCTATATTGGAAGGCATGCAATACTATGAATAATAACGTTAATAGTATTTAGTATAAGACATAACCACAAAAAGTTATGAAAGTTGGCAAGTGTGAGATACATGATCCGATATTACAAATAGTTATATAGCTGATGATAGAGTTTTAGAACAAAATATTATTATTCATCAGGTAAATGGTCATTCTAAGTCACATAGAACTTTATCAACATGTTTTTTCAAACAACATTTTAAAAGAAAATCCAGATACTTAAATTATATTTGTTTTATCAATATTTGAAATTCTTATGGAAAATGTGTCCTTTGTAGACCAATCTACTTTAAAGTTCTCTAAGATTAGCCACTGAAAAGTTTAAATATATATTCGGTAATTGCTCTCTCTCTCCTTTCATAAGAAACAGTGAGAAGTGCTAAATATTTCATACCCCCATAACACCGATCTAAATATGCACAGTTTCTTACACGTCTAATTACGTGTTCTTTTCTTCTTTTTTCCAAATTCTAAATATGTTAATTGTGAAACATAAGTTCATGTAAAAGTTTTGAATCAGTAGTATATTTTGTTGAAGTAAAATAGTGCATACAAAGTAAAAAGCGAAAATCATCTGGTGTTTTATTTGCGGTGATTTTATAAATGTTTGAGCGGGTAGACTTACATTAATAAACAACAATATTAAATGCTACTTGTGAGTTTCTAGAGACACAATTAGACCAGTGAAATATATATCATATATAACAAATGGTGTATAATTACTTCCAGCGATATAATTATATACTTTATGATATCTATGGTTCCTTTGATACTGAAAATATTAATACATTACCAAAGCGATCACTCAAATTGCTTAGAAAATATTAAACATCAAAAAGAGATTTGAAACAGTTATTTGTAGTCAGTATCATGCCAAATTATAAATATTGTATATATTTATGAAAATGAGGAACCCACGAAACAGAAAAATCACACGAAAAAGCGGCACGCCGCTGGGACCCGCTCAAGGGTCTTGCCGACCTAGTATGCACAGCGGCCATTACAGGTTCTTTTGTTCTAATTGACCTTACAGTTTAACGTAATTTTAACTTTATTATGACGTCTTCAGCCAACGGTAAAAAAGTAGCTTTAATAGCTCGACGCTATGGTATTATAAGTAATGACGTCATGACAAAAATTAAAATGAAATATATGATACTTAAAATACCAAAGGGAAGAACGAAAGGAGAATATACCTATATTATTACGTTATCCTATTTCGTCTACAAAATTTCGCTAGTCAACACGCGATAATTATCTAAAGGGCGTGAAAGATAAAAAAATGACTTCCAAGTTTGATGTTTTTCTTCAGCTTGCAGCTCCCCACTTACTAAAGCGTTAGTGACCATCTCCATTGTTAATTTTAATACTCATATTAGGTGTTCATGGTTTAAGGTTATTGTGCAATGTGTGTAGAAGTTACTGTAGGTAGTGTGTGTAGTAGTTATTGTAGGGAATGTGAGTAGTAGTTATTGTAGGTAATGTGTGTAGTAGTTATTGTAGGGAATGTGTGTAGTAGTTATTGTAGGGAATGTGTGTAGTAGTTATTGTAGGGAATGTGTGTAGAAGTTACTGTAGGGAATGTGTGTAGAAGTTACTGTAGGTAGTGTGTGTAGTAGTTATTGTAGGGAATGTGAGTAGTAGTTATTGTAGGAATGTGTGTAGTAGTTATTGTAGGGAATGTGTGTAGTAGTTATTGTAGGGAATGTGTGTAGTAGTTATTGTAGGGAATGTGTGTAGTAGTTATTGTAGGGAATGTGTGTAGTAGTTATTGTAGGGAATGTGTGTAGAAGTTACTGTAGGGAATGTGTGTAGAAGTTACTGTAGGTAGTGTGTGTAGTAGTTCTTGTAGGGAATGTGAGTAGTAGTTATTGTAGGGAATGTGTGTAGTAGTTATTGTAGGGAATGTGTGTAGTAGTTATTGTAGGGAATGTGTGTAGTAGTTATTGTAGGGAATGTGTGTAGTAGTTATGGTAGGGAATGTGTGTAGCTGTTATTGTAGGTAGTGTGTGTAGTAGTTATTGTAGGTAGTGTGTGTAATAGTTATTGTAGGTAGTGTGTGTAATAGTTATTGTAGGGAATGTGTGTAGTAGTTATTGTAGGGAATGTGTGTAATAGTTATTGTAGGGAATGTGAGTAGCTGTTATTGTAGGTAGTGTGTGTAGTAGTTATTGTAGGTAGTGTGTGTAATAGTTATTGTAGGTAGTGTGTGTGATAGTTATAGTAGGGAATGTGTGTAGTAGTTATTGTAGGGAATGTGTGTAATAGTTATTGTAGGGAATGTGAGTAGCTGTTATTGTAGGTAGTTGTGTAGTAGTTATTGTAGGGAATGTGTGTAGTAGTTATTGTAGGTAGTGTGTGTAGTAGTTATTGTAGGTAGTGTGTGTAATAGTTATTGTAGGGAATGTGTGTAGTAGTTATTGTAGGGAATGTGTGTAGCTGTTATTGTGGTGAATGTATGTAGTTTTTATTGTGGGGAATGTGTGTAGCTGTTATTGTGATGAATGTATGTAGTTTTTATTGTGGGGAATGTGTGTAGCTGTTATTGTGGTGAATGTATGTAGTTTTTATTGTGGGGAATGTGTGTAGCTGTTATTGTGGTGAATGTATGTAGGTTTTATTGTGGGGAGTGTGTGAAGAAGTTAATGTGGGGAGTGTGTAAAGAAGTTGTTGAGGGAGGTAGTTGCTAAAGTAGGGAATGTGTATATTGGTTATTTCAAGGGGTATGTGTAGAAGTTATTGTGTGGAGTGTGTGTATGGAGCGAATGGGATACCGTTATTTGTACATTGTCCCCGTGTTGATTTTTACTGCCAATTATTATCATATTATAACTTTCCCGTGAACATTTTACTATAGAGACTGGTTTAAATTCATTATAGTTTCGTATTGATCTCGTTTATTGGAGAAAATGTACGAGCCATGACAAGTACGTATTTATCATACACTGGGTTTATTTTAATTAGTAATTTATGAATATCGATGTATTAACCAGGGTGATGCAATTTGAATGAATTGATTGTTAATTTCAAATAAAAGGAGAAGTAGAATAACCTCAAGTAATTATGTTTCATTTATATTAATGTCATGAATTATGAATTTTTATTTTTGAGTTGAACAAAGCGGTTTCATAGATAATAGCCCATCTTATCACGTTTTTTTTCTTCTTCAATTATGCAAGATACCTTTGCGACTTTTGCGACAATTGAATCAATTGCAAATAGGACCTTGTTTACGATAGTTCCTGGGTTTTGTAAAGGTACTATGAATAAATTAAACGACATCATCAATATGTTTTAATGATGTAACGATCACGTGATGTACATGTAATGATACTTTTGCTAAATGAGTAAAAAAAGCTTGGCGGGAAAGACAAAAAGAGATCTTCACGGCTTTTTATGTGAAATCAATAATATGTATTTTTTTATACTTTTTTAAACAACAGAATGAAATATCATAAAACGTTTCCTTCTTTGAGATGTTAAGCAACTTTAAATTTGTACACATATACATATATTTAAATGACTTATGCCCATCCAAGGATAAATAGTGAGGTCAAAATAAGTTTACATTTTGCCAAAATTTCTTTTAATTTTATAAATCAAATTTAACTTCGCATGGACTATAAAAAACTCACGTGGTCAAAGGAAATATCAATAACCATTATAATAGTAATACATTGGTCAATTCAACTCAACTTGACAAGGGAACAATGAGCTTAATGTCACTTTAAATATTGAGTTGTACATTTAAACAAATCTAAATTATATAATACGGATTTTACAATAAAGCTATAATATTTTGCATGTTATAGCTAATCTTACATATTGTAAAATCTATTAAACAATTGCTAACATATGAACTTCAATATGTCCTTGCATTGAACAGTAAATCTTTAAATCAGAATCTATGTCAGTGAAATAAACGTTTCTTAGATGCTTTGTATATTGAATTCTGAGAAAACTTACATTATCAAGTATTTCATACGCCTTCAGTTAACCAATTAACTAATGCAGTTCATGAAAAGATAGACATCTAAGAGTTTTTACAGCTTAATAAAGTATAACAGTTTTTATCTCAGTTTCAGAATTTCTTTCTCCATGACCGATTGATTTCAATGAAGCCACTATTGATATGCTACGGTTATAATTTTACATTCAACTTCTTGCATTTTGTCTTTAAGGGGAAAATTTTATCGATATTTAACAATCGGCATTACATCAACGCTTTTGTGAGAAAACTTTAAACTATCTGCAAAAAAAGAGGAAAATAGTTTTGCATGGACATTGACTCTAAGAGAAACGGTATTGTTGTTTAAACTATTGAATAGATTGGTTTACTTTCCGCTTTTGTTTCTAACATGAACCCAAACACATGGGAAATATCTGAAACGATTCCACTAAATTTATCCTATACGGGACATTTACTCGAGCGAAACACTATTGTAGTTAAAACTCTTCAATGGACCGGTTTACATTTTGTGTTTGTCCTTCGCTTGTTCTCAAATAACTAAAAGGATACATCAATAAAAATATGGAAGCACTGGAAAATTAATAGCTTCGAAACGGGACGCCAGTGGTAGGGATTTTTATTTATAATAGGATATTTCAGGACGTGAGAATTAAGTATCGTGTATGCAACTATCGGGTTTATTTAGAAGCAAGCACTACATTGTTTTGTTTTGAATTTGATCGCAAAGAATCGAATACGCGTCAACATACGTGATTTCTGTTTTATGGAATGGATGTTTTTATATATATTGAATATCAATTATCATGATATTCAACCAAAGCGGTAATTATTCGCCTTTCCATTTCTGTATGTCCAATTGCGGCTATTATCGACGGTATAACGTTTTATATTGGCAAGTATAGACTGTGCACTTATTTACGAATATAGTTTTATGGAACTAGTCTAGAATTACTATCATTGCCGAGTAAGTCGAGATTAAGGTATAAAGAATAAATAACGGAAAATTAAAATACAGTGAATCTTTAGGTATTCTTAAATATATGCGGCAGTTTTATGTATTGCTCTTATTTCCTTAAGACCAAACAATCTTGTTATTTCTGGATATTGAAATCTGTGACAGGTGAATTGTTTTAATGATCATGAAATCTAAATATAGGAACGGAACGCTTGAGTGAATGATGCGCGAAAAAATAGTTTCTTGTGAAATATGGATTTTTATTTAATTGCGTGCTGAATGACTTTTTATAGATTTAATATATTTTTAATTTGTTGTGTAACAGAAGTAAGAGGGTTCTTTCCCTTTCTACAATGAAACTGCAAAACCGGAAATTAAAGGAATTGCCAGGAATTTATCAAATTACATTGCTATGACCTAGCAAATATCTTCGTATATTACTTTATTAATACGACAAGAATATGTAATGGCAGTGAATGTTTCTGAAAACAACTTTAAAATAACATATTTGCAGTTTTGCTCAAAATTGGATGCAGTAATAAGAAACTAGGTGTGTTGATATTAAGCGATGCACCTGCCATACATGAAAAACATTATATGAAATAATTTCTAGGATTTATTAAATGTTATTAATCAAGAGAAGATTTACTAAAGTTTAACAAAATATGATGTACTCACATAAAAATTTACTATTAATAGTTGTACGGTAAATTTGAAAAAGGGAAAACAACAAACAAACATACTTCAAACAAGAAGTGTTTCGTAGAATTCGTATTGGCGAACAAGAGAGACGTACAATTTTGGAAACATTTTTAAAGTGTATTATATCGCTTTTTTATGCAAACTGTATTTTGTGAGTCAAAATAGACATATTCACTTTATTAACATTTAATGCGGTGCCTTATTTGAAGACATAGCAAATTGACAGGCTGTTGTTTGTTTATGCATTTTAGTATTAGTTTCCTTGATCAGATTACTATTAGCATAGTTCTGTATATTATCAAGAAACAGTTGATCATAATATTCTAGTTTTTACATGATCTAATTGGACGGAATTGGATGAAATTTACTCCGAACTGGAAAGCTTTCAGTAAAAGATTACGGGTCGAGCTTGTCGACATGCACGAGTATTCGAAGTAAGTTTTATCTTTTTTTATTATTATTTTTATTATTACCTTACGATCAAACTTTTAAAATTAGTGAAGTTTTTAACTCAAACATGCTTTGTAAAGCTTTTCTTAAAGATTGGTATTGCTAACTGCCCTATAGGAGTGGTACCAAGTGCCAAATTGGAATGGTACCGCAACCAATACAATATTATATAGATTTTTTTTCTTTTTTAAAAATTATTATCGAAAATAAAGTAAGTGAAATAAATACGAACTATTTCATATATTCATTGATTTTGTTAACGGAGCTTTTCAAAAGTTGAAAACAAATGTAAAGTAATATTTTCATAGGTTTGTGAGAACAGCTTTTTATTTGATTTTATGTTGTACGTTTCTGTTGTATATCATCGAATTATAATTTGAAGAAACTCTAAAATGACACCAGCTGGCCTGATTCTCTTAAAATTGCAAAATCGATTTTGTTCATTATAAACTTACAAACAGATACAACTGTATTTAAGTAACATATTGTAAATAGCGCGTATTCAGTTACATATATAATTAATTTCATATATAAGAATCGATTTTGGGGGAAAAATAGTTTATACATACAGCATTTTGCTATTTTGTGCTATTTCATTTTCTTAATCTTTAATTTATTGATTGACGAAAAAAATAATTTGAAATGAAACTAGACATGTCATTGATTTGGAAAAAATAAGAAGTTGATGCATGTACAACATTTTGCTATTTTGTGCCTTTTCATTTTCTTATTCTTTGATTTATTGATTGACAAAACAAAGATATCTGAAAAGAAACAAGACGTGAAGTCGAAAAGAAAATGCTGGGAAAATGAGCATTGTCATGAACGAAATAATTCTGTGAAAAAAATCTCCACAATAAAATAATTTAACAGCAGAAAAAAGTGACAACAGGCACAACATCTGCTCAACAAAAGTAATCTTAGTCAGACAAATTAGAAAAAGCCCGTATCCAATTGTTTTAAGTTTACAATTTTGTCACGAAACTTAAACTTCTAATTTGTCAAGAAGCTGATTCTTCTTTAACCGTTGGAAGTCCTGAAATTCTTAAGACAAGTTTTCTCTTAAAGAATTGAACTATGGAAATACCAATACATGACAACGTCTTGTAAAGTTAAGGATTCACTTTGTTGAAATTTAAAGCGATTTTCAGATAGGACTTGTCTGTTTTATAACCCATTTTCAAATACAATTGGTCTGTTATAAAACCAATTTTCAATACAACTGGCCTGATATATAACCAATTTTCAAATATTGCTATTTTTATATAATTGGTCTTTTATATAACCAATTTCATTTTACGCAACATTTTAACACAACTAGTATATTTATGCAATATAACCAATTATTAATTACGACAAGCATATAATATAATCACTTTTCAAATATTACTGACCTGTAATATAACCTAATTGCTTATACAACTCGCTTGTAATATAACCATTTTTAATACACCGCCCAGTATATAAGTATTACTTATAATGAAGTACATAAATACATACGACAAAGTCATTACTTAATAAATAATCATGTCCCTGTAGTTTAAATCATAAAAACTAACTCGTAGTTCTCATATGTTACAAATTTATTTCAAACGTACTGTCTTGTTTTGTTCCTTGAAAAAATCCAAGACATTCAAGAAAATGCCGAGAGTTTTTCGTTTTCGTGAAATTTAACCCGTAAAAACACTGTTGGAAGGAGCAAATGAAACTTGAATGCCCAAATATTTAATAAAATTATGTATAAAACATAAGTGTAAAAAATAACACATAACTGTATCCTAGTTACTATTTTCAAAGAGAAAAAAATAAGAAAAGAAATATTCAATTAATTAACTTATTTAAGTGTGCATGCATCATCAAATGTTTTCATTTCAAGTACGCACAAATGATTATTCAATACACTGTCTTAAAATAACGCATAACTCACGTGATGCATCATCGAATGTTCTCATCTTACTTACGCATAAATTATTATTCAATACACTGTCTTATAGTAAAGCATAACACACGTGTGCATCATTAAATGTTCTCATCTCAAGTACGGATAAATGATTATTCAATACACTGTCATATAGTAAAGCATAACTCACGTGTGCATCATTAAATAAAGCATAACATAATGTTCTCATCTCAAGTACGGATAAATGATTATTAAATACACTGTCGTTTAAAATTAGAACGTAACGCAACGCACAGGATCAACAATACCACAATTTCTTTTCTTAATTACGCATAAATACACACATAATTGTGTATTCAATACACTGTCTAAAAATAGTAGAAAACACACTTGCAGTTTTCTCCCCATGACAGACATATATTTTAGATGACAAATGCAACATGACAAGAGATCATATAAATATCAGTTATCAGCAACTACATGGTCGGCCAGTTGGGAAATTCCCATTCTTAAACGCTGAGTATTGTTTCTTATAGATTGTTTAGTGTACGAGGACTTGAGCAGAAGTGTTTCCCTTTACGGAAAACAATCGTGCAGAAATTTATATGTAGCTTTCGCATGAAATTATTATAAACTACAATCAAAAGAGTCCAAACAAATGAAAGATGTTTTCCTATAAAAACAAATAAATGGGCACATATGTTTAAAAGAAAATAAGAGAGCAATGTTTATTTTAAGTTAAGAATAAACCTAATTTTAAACCCATTAAAACGTTTCAAATCACATGAAATATTATATTGCAGATTAAAATGTTTTCTTGTAAACAACTGTAACTTTACCGGATGAAAACTTTTTATTCGAAACGCTGTATCTTTAAATAAAAGCAGTGCTTCTTTAATTCTCTTTAATGACAAAATTTGTAACACAGCCCAAAAAGTAAAAACAGTCATTTATGGCTAAGAAATTACAATTTAAGTGTCAAACACAAATTTACATTATAGGGGAAAACAACTAAAACAAATATTTTCAAAACAGTCCTGTGCCTTCTGTTTCTATTGCTTATGAAGTGTGTACGTACATTTATAAAATAATGAATATACATGTATGTTGAAATTTATAATAAATGATTAACTACTTTCCATTTATAACTTTGACGTAACAACTAAATGAAAGTGTACAGGGATAATGATATGGTATAAACTGTACTTTTCCATTTTCCCCCAATATATAAACCACCGTATTAGAGCAACGGTGCAAAAATGCATAATCTAAGCCAATGACACTTAATTTCCGCTTGTAAATGAAGTGATATCAATAGCAAATATTACAAAACAAAACTTGCTTTCTCGCCTCTAAATTGAAGAAAGGGGAAATTTTCAGAAATTAATTTATTCCTTCGGAACATGTTACACTGGAGAACAGATTTCATTTTTTTTTCGCTGTGTTTCTTTGTTTTCTTTTCTCTTTTTAATAATCATAATCCCATCTTGAATAAACTACTACATTGCGTGAAAGTAATTTACAAATCGACTACTCCTGATAGATTAGGTTTCAACTAATAATAATCCTAGGAAAAATAGAAACATTGCTACAGTTGTTCGTCTGATGTCTTTGATGAAGTCGGAGGGGAACAGTCGCCGTAAATTCATTTTACGATACTTGTTTCTAACAATTCCACCGTTTAAGTATAGACGATTTCCAAATTCATATGTATACAACCTTACTTTTGGGACTTTAAAATAATCACTTAAAGCAAACTTTTACTCTCCAAACTGCGCAAGCGAAGAACAATTCAATATACAATATTTCAAAAAGATACATTAGATTACAGATTTCGTCAAATATAATTCTAATTTATAATATGTTAAACTTTTACGACCATTTTTACGTTAATTTGACATATTCTAAAATTTACAAAGTTGTTTGGATTATTAATCATCACCACTCAAAACTTTAATTTTTTATAACGGAAAGCTGTCCCATTTCAAAAACGCCATTATTTTAGATGTAATACTTTCAGTATATTTTGACAAACAGTTAATCTGCTTTACAATGATAAACCATATATTTTTTTTTAAGTTTAAAAAAGTAAAAACATATTCAAAATCTATTTCAGGAGTGTGACCTTGACCGTTTGAACAATGTTCTTGTAAGTTGCCTTTCACTTTATGTTGTTTTTGACCATTTAAACAATAACTTATACGTCTCACAATTTTTGTTTATTACTGTTCGTCTGAGCTTACTGATCAACGAAACGAACAATTTTTAAAAAAAATCCTAGAATCTCATATTTTCCCCTCCTTCTTGTTATAAAACTGTGGCCTACTTTCTCAAGAAATGCATAGTTGCCCACATTTTATCTGATATACATGTGTCCACTAATCTAAGCATAAGGAACGACAATAGTTTTAGTAAGTTGCAAGCAAGAACTATCATTATATAACAAAATAGAATAATAATTATTGATTATAATGTTTCATGTTCGACTTCGTAAACAAATTTTGTCATATTTTAAATATTATCAAGAACCTTATATTTAATTATTTAAGATTCTAAGTTTATATCACGAAGTTATATAAGCGAATCAACATGCCTGAGAATAATATATTATTTTCACATTCATTTATGGCTTTTAAAGACTGAAAAATCCAACCAACGTGCAAATTATCGTCTGTACAAATATAGTATAATGGCACAGAATTGTCTTCTGTAATACGACTTTAAAGGCAACAGTATGTGTTTAAGATATTAATAATTCTATTATGTTCAATCCCTTTTTGTTCAAAACTTCGTTGCCCACGCAAGACCATAGATGTGAAATTGTTGGTTATCAAAGTAAATTTATAACAATATGAACTTTTATATATTAAAAAGTGTTCAGTACCTTTATATCTAAATGGTATATCTTTAATTTATGAAATTTATTAACATTAAAATGATATTGAATAATATATTTTTACAAATTCTAGTTACATTTCTAATCTCTATACAACCTTAAAGCCCTGTGAAATTTAACAGTATGTATTCACCGAAAAAATATTTTAGTTTTATGGAAACAAAGACTTCACACAAATCAAAACATGT